GAATTTCTTTCTTCATTTCAAGTTGTGGCATTCCCCCCCCCTTTAAAAAAATCTGTAATTTTACTTTGCTTACTAGTTCTTACCGAGTCATTTTAAATTTCTTAATATACAGCTAGACAGTTTTGCTGCTCCCTTTTGAATTTTCGGCTTATTTCAGCGGAAGGGAGAAATTACTCAAGAAAAATAACTTGATATTTTCAGCTAAGCATAGGTCTTCTTTTAATTTTTTTAATGTTAAATTATTAACTTCACAATCTTCATCAGTGGTAGTGTCTTCAGAAGCGTTTTGATTTACAGCTTGGAAGCCATTTCTGTCAAATCTTTCTCAATTTCTAGTTCCGCTAATAAATCTTGAACATCCTCAATAGTCATGTTCACAAAACCTTCGCCTCCAATTGATTTAGCAAGTTCTAATATGTCACCAATTTCATTTTCTGATGATTCACATATGTTTTCTATTTCAACTGAAGAGGGCCATATCTTCTGCATTTAACGTTGATGCTTTCAGTTCTTTCAACAACAAAGATACGACATTGATTCAGTTCTTGATTGATAATGTCTTCCAAGCTTCCACTGCATTAATTAATTTTTAATCAATTACGTCTAAAATCTACTGTAATGCTCTTCTTATATAATATGCTTTAAAGGTATGAATAATACCTTGATCTAATGGTTGGAGTAACGAAGTAGTGTTAGGTGGTAGGAACAGTATTTTGACATTGGGATGACAGAAATCTAGTAGGTGACATGGAGCATTATCTAATACAGTAAAAGTCCAGAAATCCACAAAGCTTGGGACCAGAGGTTGTGCGAATTTCAGGACAGAAAAGACAAATCATAATATTCAGGCTAAAAGTCAAAATAAATAAGGCATGTTAGATATGTTTAATTAAATTATTATATACATTATGATAATTTATTATATACATTAAATTATTATTACATATATAAATTGATTATATTTATATTATTCATTTACATTAGGCTCCTCTATTTTTAAATCAGCATGAATCCACTTCCTCTTTTCTCTCAGGAGCAGTCCTGAAATTGGTACCCCATCACCCAGGCCGCTGCCGAAACCACTCGTACGAGACGGCATCGAGGTTTGCCGTTTCGCCTCGTATAAAGATTTCCAGTGTTAGACCTCTACAACTGTGGCATTGCTGTAAAATTTTAACAGCTTTTCTTTATTTTTCTAAATATCATACACGGTCTGTGTCGCAATTCCATATGATTCTGCTATAAACCGAGGAGTAGCACCTACCTACCTTTCATCTTTTGCAGAATTTCCACTTTTTGTATTAATGTCAAATGCAACGTGATTATGTTTTTCAACGTTGCAAGCAGTAAAATCATGATTACATTTCTTATCTATCATCATCTTTATTGGGCATATTTGGGGACTGAAACTTAATGCCTTAAAGACGAAAAAGTTATTCTTTAACACACCGTGGCTCGATGCAGACTGCCGACCAGCAGCGTGAGACACTTTTGTTTTCAGGCCATAGAGACGAGGATTGGAATTTTGGAAGCCGAACATGCAGGTTATGCATTTCACAGCACTTGTTGTGACCTTGTGTTGTCTCCTGCGATAGTGAGGTTTCTTCATTGTTATCTGGGAACATCTGCTCATACGAGTCATCTGAGTACATTTGTTCATCTGAGGACATTTTTTCCTACTGGTAGCAGATGTTGGAAGACAACTGGCAGAACTTATGAAACAAGGATTGTTATGTGTTAAATGACTATATGGGTGCTTTGCACAACACGGAAAACTTCAAATGGAGTTCGTTAAATTTCTTTGAATGCTTGGGCAATTTTCTTATACTGTTAGAGCGAAACCATATCCTAGGAAAACTGTGTTGTAGGAGGGTTTTTGCAATTTATGAATCATATTATAGCGAAACAGTGTTACAGAATACCGTGTTGTAGGAGGGTTACCCGTATATCAGAACTCTGGAATTTCCCTTGGAGATATCTGTACAAGTATTCACAATATCACGCAATATAATCAGTAGTTATACTTCAAGTTATATTTCAAACTACTAAAGACGTTAAACCCAACGCAACACAAAGCACATCTAAAGAGAAAGCTAACTTGGATTTCTCAATTCATGCGGAAATAACAACTCGCAACAAAAGTAACTAAGCAACTAAAACTGTCTCTCTCTCTCCAACCTTTTATAGATTTCAACCAGATGCAAGATATATCTAGAATGTTCTGCTTCTCAAAATTACTGGAAAGAAATAAAAGGATGGAATTATGGTTACAGCTATAGTGGTAAGTTACATTTATTCAGTTTTAAAACAATTTACCGAAATATCCATTTGCTCAATGTTAAATGCACATGCGCCTGCATTTTTAATTTTCTGGTACAGCTTTCTCTTAAAATTTGCCTCTCGCTGCATTGCACAGGGAGATACAACAATTTTTATTAGAATTCTACTAAACTATCTAAATATAAAATTTCTAACAGTATTTATGATCCTGTTTCTCTACTTAGTTATATGCCTTCAAGGTGCAATTGGAAGCATATCTGATTAGCAATCAGGAGGTCAGTACTTCATATATCAGCATCAGCACTGTACTCTTTTTAAGTCTTCTGCCTCTAAAAAATCAAAATTGCTCTATAATGGCACTAACCAAAACGTGATGGGCAATAATTCGTCACTACCAGGACTTAGGGACTAGGTTCAAAACCCCTTGTACCGTTACTAACTTGTCCGGCTAGCAATGCAAAGGTCTGGATTTTGAATCCCAGTAAAGGAATTGCACATTTTTCACGTTTCCTGTTCTGGAATAGCTCTAATGAATCTACACATTGATGTAGAACAAAATTTAAGTACAAATACTTACTGATTAAAAATAGACTGAATCTTCATATAAAACTCTATAGATGTCTACAGTAGATTATGAAAATACACATCAAATGAACTTTGATGAAAAAATATATAATTTGTTAAATATCATTAGGGATAAGGGAATGGAATTCATACAATTTACATTTCATTAATTCAATAATAAAACTTAAAAACTGTTTTTAAATTTTATTTTCATTAGTAAAGGCTAAAAATTAAAGATGGGAGATATGTTGAAAAACTGAGAGAATTGGCAGCTATGTTTTACACTATAAAACCAAAAGTTATAGGATAGGAGCTAAACAATGGGCTAAGCTTCGTATTGCTAGCCGGACAAGTTCTAAGCCTCCTCTAGCCTTCAGAAATGCCTAACATTGTCACGGCATGAAAGTAAATAAGTAGAAAAAACATCAAACAAAAACAGCTACCTATACATCATGCAGAGTACTGCTTAATCAGAGTTACATCCATTATTTGCAAGTTTTAATGTACCTCATAGTTTTTAATGTACCTCATAAATGCTACAAAGAGTTAACATCAAAGGACTGCAAGGACCAAATCTTGGTGATTAAGTCTGTAGAAATATTCTGCAAATGTCCACTGACAATTTGGTTGTCAGATTTTACTAAGGGGAATTCTAATGTCATTCCATGAATCACAGACATTCCATGAATGTAAATTTGAAGTTTTTTACCTTTTGCAGAGGTGGTCATTTTAGGCAGGTGATGTCAATACTCATGTGTAATTATAAGCTCAGAAACAGTGGTTCACTCTAAGAAACAACCATCAGAATAAAATTTACTATTTATAGCATATATGATATAAATAGAGAATTTACGTATATGATGCACATGTTTGATGATTTTTATGACAACATTATAAGGGAATAAAATAGATATAAGCAAGACCAATGTTACAGACAGTAACAGAGTATTTTACAACTCACTAAAACCCAGCTATATCTTTATTACATTTAAAAGATGGTTCTTAGCATAATCTTATATCATACATGAAAACTTTACATGATATAAGTGTTAAGAGGATGCTATTCATGACACAATGCAAGAGTTAAGTAGGTATCCTCTATAAACAATCATGTTTCATTTTAAGAGTTTGTATCTCATAACCTAACAGCTCCATACTTCTTTATGTGGATACACTTTAGACATAATTTTCAAACTAAAACTAAAGATACACTTCAGACATAATTTTCATCATGTCTAAAGTATATGTTTTAAATAAAAGATCTCATTGTGGTGTAGTGGCCGAAACCGCTATGCAAACCCTGGGTTGTGACACAAGGTTTTGAAATGAACTTTTAACTCAAGTTTTAACAATAACATGAATTTTAATAAGATGAAAACCTTAATAGTTGCATACCTTAACAACATGAGACTTGGATATATTTAGTCCCATAATTTCAGAATTTTGTTACAGGAAAAAATGCTCTAAGCATTAATACATGAGGAATGATTGTTCTTAGCAGGCCAACATGCCCATAGCTCTAGACAGGAAAGTTTTCTCTCTTCTCAGGAAACCACCTTATATATATCCCTGTGTTTACTTGCACTGAACTCCCAGGGGGGGAGGAATGATTCTTTCAATCATACATAACAAAGGGTCCATCTGACCCTGATAAAAAGACTTCTTTTACCTCTTTGTCCCCTTGCTGGACATTCAAGGCTGCAACCAGAATCATTAACAAAGGCACAGGATTTCACCACTGATGAAAATTATTGCACTCTGAAATCACTCATCCTAGACAAAGAACCTTTATGCCACCTTATCACATCATTAATTAGATAAGAGACCAAATCTACAATATAATTTTTAATGAATTAATATGTTTTAAAAAACTGGAATGATCCCCCCTTTTATTTCCTAATAGAGCTCATATTTCTGTCCAATTTTCCTGTATACTATTGTCAAAAGTATCCAATTCTCACACTGCACCCCACACACAATACCTGAATGCACAGCATAATTTTACACATAAAAACCTCAGATAAGGAATACAGTTTTATTAAGGAAATAGTGTTTGCTGATAAAGTATACATCTAATTAACAAGCTAATTACCAAAAATAAAAAACATTTAATACAAAATTAATTCAATGTTATAAAACAATAGCATGCTACTTACTGTTTACATACTGATTGTTATCCCTAAAATTTTGCCAACTTTGAAACCATTTAGAGTCTTTATGAAGTTCAATACCTGTAGCTTCCCTAAATGAAATGTAATTTCACATGATCTTTCCTCTCATAAAGAGTAGAAAATATAAAATGCATCATAAGTATAGAAAATGAATAAATACACATTTTACATTCAAAGACCAATTCAGTTCTCTGACCAAGTGAATAATCAACTTTAAAGGAATAATTTCAAACCACATCAATTTTAAATCATTGTTAAATTTAAATTCCTCCCATCAAAATTTCCAGAAGCTACACTATTTGAATAATTAATAAAGTACACAAAAAAAAATTTCAATTTTTACTTTTTAGGAAATGGTGATCTTATGTTGAAACGCATATTTTTTCTCTAAAACCAAGCCCCATCCGTCTCCACATGTGTAAAGTGAATATGAGCCAATTACCCTCATAAAGCTCTCCACGAAGGCATCCCTCCTCTGAGGCAGATAAGCTTAGTGGCTTTGCCATATTCAAATAATCTAACTTGACCTATCTAAAACCAGTGTCAATCTGAGATTGACTTTTGTCTAACTTTAAATTAAGTTTTGCTAATTTATACACTGAAATACCTGCAATCCAGGGATTCTCAAAAGGGGGGATTTCATAATTTTAGAGGGAATGCAGTCAGCTTTTATTTATCTGTTAAGTATTTAGTTATCATTTACGAATATAAAATAACTTTTACTCAAGTTTTGGTATTTATTAACATTTTTCATACTTTCTGTTTCTTAATTTATAAAACAAGATAGAAAATAAGCCAAATTTAAATTAATTTAAATGTGTATTTTTCAAGTTTTGGAAATGGGGGAATGACCTAGCAATGGTGAAAGCGCATGGAGCTAAAAGGTTGAGAACCACTGCTATAATCATTAAATTTTAAACTAAACCAATAAAGTTGATTCAAAATTCTACTGCATTCTTTTTTTAATTCATATCCTTTATGAATAAAAAAAACTAAAATTTTAATTTAAGTTACACACAAAATTTTGCACTATCTAGAAAACATGAGAATTCTTCATATGTACTATACTGACTAAAATGTACACAATAACAAAATGTTCCTCTCTCTTCCCTCCATTTAATGAAACTAAGCAAGATAGCAGAAATTTCAGGTTCTGGTTTCATCTGCACATATTTTTTTCATTTTAGCTTCAGATTTTTACTGAATCAGTACCTCGTGCCTCACCGAATCAATAACTACATGGCTTGTAATGCAAGAATAATGCTAAATTACAAAATACAATAATATCTCCTTTAAGATGAATTTGAAAATAATGGTGCTTTGACTTAATTTAACTTGCTTGTTTTCAGAATTAATCTATTAGCAAGTAAATTCAAGAAATACATACTGTTAAGTAAACTACAATAAAATAGTACATTATATTTTCCATTAATTGCAGCATTATATTTCCTTAAAAATCACGTTGAGCATCTCAAGAGATTTTAAATTTATATGTATTATCATTTACACACATTAATTCTTGCTGCATTTCAAAGCAAAAGCATGAAATTTTGATATTTGCAAATATAATCATAAAGTTTTAATTTAGGCAAAATTTAACTTTAGAATGATACTGGCTTCATAGAATCTATGTAGTATTAGGAGATTGACATGGATCCCATTTTTCCAAGCAGTAAAAACAGCCTGCTTATTTTCAGGAAACATGCCTTTTAAATAGATAAAATAAATATACAATAAATAAACAATAATTTTAGCATTATCTTTTGAATAAAAATGGAGTACTTTCTGATTATCCACAACTCCCTCTGAAAACTTGCCAACTTGTTGCTGACTCATTTTTTTGGAAAGCTAATGTGCAAAGGGCTACAGTTATTTTGAAAAGGGCAGCACACTAAGAATTCTATAAAAGATCTATGAATCGATAAAACTTAAAATATTCGGAAAAATTTTTTTTCAAGAAATCCTTATGCAATTATTTTCTCCAATGTTGTTCTTCCCATGTACACAGTGATCTGTTTTTGGTTTAAAAAAATCAGAGACTTGCACAAATTTGGCATCGTGCATGCTGTTGTTTTTTCCATGTACACAGCAATTTATTTTTGCTTAGAAATATATCAAAGAACTGCACAATTTTGGCAATGTACATTTTGATTGATAAAATTCAATCATTTAAGAAGTACAGTTTCACAAAAGTGAATTTCTGCATTCTGTACCGCTGGTAAAACACCATATATCTGAAGTTTTAAAGCTTTCTTTGCCATCAGTTAGCTAACTCCACAGTTCATTTCAATTCCTTACTAGGAGGGGGAAAAAAAAGCTTTCAATTAAAAAAAAACAAGCACTAATCAGAAAAATGACTTTAATTTGAAAATGGAAATCTGTGCTTGTCTACTGTGCTTACCTGAGTTACCATGCAAATAGATTTTGCAGATATCGTAAGAACCTATTTTTACAACATGTGCATTGCCTCCTCAATACCTTTTACCAGGCAGATAATCAGAATGAACAACAAAAAAAAAAAAAAAAAGCGCTAAAAAGTTATGATACAAGGCTTTTAAACAGAATGTATTAAACTGGAATTAAAACCTTTGAATAAATTTCATATATACTGGTCTGATTTGCAATGTGAGGATTAACTCTGGACAACTTTACTGGAGATAAAAAAATAATACGAGTACTAAGATGAATTAGTTAGGGAAAATTGACTTTTTTGATACTGTTTTTAATTTGAAATTTTAATGCTTTGTTAGTTTGACAGATCTATTTTAAACAATGCTCAAGAAATGCTATATATTTTTTAAGAATTATATTAAAAAATATTGCCTATAAGCACTGAGCAATGAATTTAATTAGCAAAAGGAAAATAATCTGAGCAATAATATTGTGGAAAATCAAAGCAATTCTTCAACTCATAGAGGAGAAAAATGGGATGACAAGATTATTCTGATCATTTTCAATATTTTTTATCACAGAAAAAAAAATTTAATATTAAATGAAATAAACTTACATATTAGGTTCAACAACTCTCTGTTCTGTGCTCATCTTGGATCTTTCGCTTCGCTTGTGCAATTTAACTACCCAAACAAAAAAAAAAAATCATATGTTAATAGCATTTCAAATAATCAAATATGATGTGAAATATGCTTAAAGCTAAACATATACACACCAGGTGTTTGGTAAACTCTTGGCCCTGCCATTTGAGCTTCTTCAATTTGTTCTTTAACGGTCTTCACACCCTAAGTAGAATTAGATAAAGATAAATAAAATGACAAATTGTTTCTTCTGTTTTAAAAATAAATTTTGCAATTCTAAAAATTTAAAATATTTACTTAAAAGCAAACTAATATTTAAAGACTGGTATTTTGTATTTCTTAAATACTCCATTTTCTGTTTTTAAGATATATTACAGAATGCAATTTTGTACACTGCATACAATCATTTGGATTTAAAAAAGATAAACAATAATTAAGAATGGGAAAAAGCATTGTCTCATAGAAAACTTTAATAAAATGTTTTACCAAAAATCTAACAAAATAAAATCAAAAAGAAAATAAGATTAGAAAAACATTAAATAAAATTACAGTGAAAATGCATTACAATTTTTTGAATAAATAAAAAACAATCTAATGTAAGTGCCAACTTTGAAATATGAAAAACCAAGAGGTTTTCGCACCACATGGGAACCTGATTTCAGATCTTCAGCTGGTCAAATTTGACTTAAAGTCAAACACATAATTTAGATTAAACTAGTAGTATAATTATGATGCAAAATATATTAAATCAAAATTTAGAAAAATGCACTAAATAATTAAAGTATGGCATTTGGCAAATTTCTTTTCATTTTGTAATTTACTCAGGTGATAAAAACCTGAATACAGGGGGAAAAAAATTATGGTATTTGCATATTAACCACTTGAAAAAGAAATTGTTGCCAAGAGCATAATTTAGAGCTAATACAGGGGGAAAAAATTATGGTATTTGCATATTAACCACTTGAAAAAGAAATTGTTGCCAAGAGCATAATTTAGAGCTAATTATGGAGAAGCCTGGTGTAATAACATATTCATAAATTTGCACTTTTGGTTGACGTAATCCCAACTGACTCTTGATACATAAGAGCTTAGTTATTTAAATTTTGTTAACTAAGATAAGCTAACTTTTGTTTTTGTGAACAAGGAAATAACTGTTATTACTGCATTTTGACAAAAAATATTACAATTTGAGACCTGCCTTCTACAGAACAGCAAGCAGTGGATTATTATCAAAATTATGGGATCCTATCAAAAAAGTGTGTATTAATGGAAACACTAATACTTCACGTGAAAACAGATAAATAATGGTGATGTAACATTAGAAATTGTGGCAAGAGAATGTTCATTTGAAAAGAAACATGGTTTGAGGGATGTAGAACCAATCTGTGACTGCACTCTGGTTCATTCACAGTTGGTCAAGAAAATTAGCATGTGCCAAATGAGAAAAATAACAGCTGGATATAGCCAGCAAAACAGGAACAGATACGAACTATTAACTGCAGAATTTTTGCATTAATAGCATTTTAAACAGAGCTTCTCATTTAAGCAGTGAGCCTAACAAACTCTGTCAACTTTCATAGTCAAAAGCATATTGAGTACCAATTTTATTTATCAAACTGCTTTTAAACATGATAAAAATAAAATAATAACTAATGCGACAATAAATCCTCTGTATAAAATTAATAATGGAAAATTTTATTTATCAAATTGCTTTTAAACATGATAAAAATAAAATAATAACTAATGTGACAATAAATCCTCTGTATAAAATTAATAATGGAAAATTTACACATTTTAAACAAAATTAAATATAAATATTCACTTATATAGTGTTAAGTCGTCTATATGATCTACAAATGTCAAATAAATTAAATCAAATAAAAACTCATCAATAAAATTCATCAGAAAAATTACCAGAGAAAAAACTGAATTTGAATAATTCAAATTTCATTCATCACTGCCTTGGCTTTTTATAAAGATTTGTCATCAAACTTTAAACACTTTTTCCCCCTTTGACACTAGTGATCAACATTTTTTCTGGATTCACAGTCAAAATAGATTATCTAAATTCAGACAAACTCAGAGCCAGGAGATTTAGAGATTCAGGAAGAGAAAAAAGGATATGATAAAAAATTGTTTGGTAAAACCAGAATAGTTAGCAGCTCTAAAATAATTATTTAATATTACTGTTTGACCTGAATGCTGTAAATCATTAATATTAATTAATTTTAAAATACAATAAGTATTATGAAAAAATGCACAAAACATTTCTGCAATTGTTATACATTAACTAATAATAAATCTTTACTCATATAACGTTTTAACAATAAAACATAAATTAATGAATAAAATAATTATGCTTCAGTTTGTTGCAAATTATTCTTATTCAGAAGCACATTTAATAGGCAAAGAGCCTTCAATGTTATTATAAAATAAATGAATTTAACAATCTGCAAGACTTTCAGAACTTTTTCACCACTTTTACAGCAAACATCTTACTTCTGCGACAGCTCTTAAAGGAGTACTTTTTCCAAGTTGTTCACCTTGTTTCGCTAATGCCTCAGCTGCAGTTTTTGCAGATTTAGCAAATTCTTCTGTTAATTTTTGGCTTTTCTTTCCAAATTCACTTTTTTGAGCTTCTTCCAGGCTCTAATAAAAACCAAGAGACAAAATTAATTCCAAATTTACTCTTACACGAAAATTTTGAAATGGTTAAACTTTTAGTGTACTTTTTATAGCTACCACCCATGTTAGAAGATATTTACAGCCAACAACACTGATTCAATGATATAAAAACATAATGAAATGAGAGGAAGATAATGCATTAATTTTGAATGACATTTAAAAGCAGTTTTTATTGCATGAGAAATATTTTACTACATAAGAAATATTCAGTCTACAAAGCTAATTAGGCAAAATTTAAAAAGAGAATGCTAAAATGTAATTATGCTGAAAACAAAGCTGTTATTAACTAAGTAAAATATATAAATGTCTAAAAATATACCAAGATTTTTAGCCTCCTTTTCCTCATTATATTAAAAAAATGAACAGGAAGTGAGGAGTGATGATGTAATCAAGTTGGCACTGACTGCAACTGTGTAATTCACAGCATAGAAATAAATGTTTTAAAGTTGTAAAACCACCCTTAAAAAAATAGCTTTAATTTTTAGAACAGAAGATGTAATGATTGTAAGCATTAACATTTAAAAAGTTAATAATAATTATTTATTTTAAAATAATAGATAAAATACACTACATTGTCTTAAAAGTTCCAGGTTTTTTCCTCTGTGCATTTATTATTATAATAATGAAGAAAAAACTATGGCATTCATCAGCCTTTCTTCATCTGCATACTAAGTAAGAGAAATCTATTATTCTTTCTAATGTAACTATAATAAAAGCTCTTTAAAGTTAGGCTTAAAAAAAAAACCTTAGTTTGGTGTAGTTTTGAATATATATACATCAATCCTCCCCTTGCCACTAAAGACGAGGAATTTATGTTTGAGTGTCCTTGATATCGATAGTTTTATTCAAAATTTAATCTAATCAAATATTGCCTTTTTGACCTAATTACAAATTTTACATTGGTATCTTTTTCTTCTGATTTGATATAATAGCAGATATTTTTAAAATAAATTTCTAACATTCATACACATACATTACATTTAAATAAATACAAGTACATACATTAAGTTTGACAAAACAACTTTGTTCATAGTATCTAAAGAGACTTACTCAATCCTTCAAAAGGGGGGCAAAGGAGGAAGATCTTTTTTATGCAAAATTACTTTGACATTTTATATGATTATAAATTACCTAAAATGGTGAACTAGCTTTGTTTTTTACAAATTATCAATGCATTCTTGTTTATTTTTACAGTTAAAGCATTCAGCAATATTTGCATTGTCATTTGACAGTTCTATTTTAAAATTATTCGTAATTGATTTATTAGTTCTATCATCATTTTGTAATTGACCTCAAAATGAATTTTCTTCAAGATTAATTCATGTAGTCTTTGAAAGCACTCTGCATTATTTTTCTTTTCTTGGCACAGTATTGGATTTTAACAGTTTCTTTTAAGGCAACCCAAGCAAGCAATTTTCCAAAAAATCTCACCCAAGAAGCTTCTTGCATTACTTTCGCTCCCTTTAATAAATGATCATAATATGTATTCTATACAGAATTGAGTGTATTAAAAAAAATTAAAAGAAATTAAAATTTAGTTAATAATATTTGTATGTAAATCTTTCATTTTCAATTTAAAGAAAGTACTTTATAATGTTTAAAATTATGTACACTGGAAGTTATTATACAATCATAAAAACATCATACTGCATGTTTAATTTTTGTAGCATATCTTTGTTATTTTATATGATCTTTATTTATTTAATTGCTTAACATATAGTATTTCTCTTTTATAACACATGTAAAATGCCTGATATATATATTTACAGAAATTTATAATTTGTACATAATTGAAACAACAGTTGTGCTATTATTACACACATAAATATTTGAAAAATATTACGTATTTTAATATTCACTGAAAAGAGAATATTAATGTACTCATATCTTTGCTGCCTAAATTTAAAACAAAATTATTGTTTAAATTAATAGGATTCAAATTGCAAAACAAATATTCAATTAATAAATGTCCATCTCAAGAATAAAAATAAATAAATATCATAAATCAAAACAAAATAAAACCTGAAATTTTATCTCAAAAGGAATTTTTGTACTGAATAATAGCTTGAAAATGCCAATGAGCTTATATGGCATCATATTACGATCACTTACTTCTTTTAATTTTCCTTTCAATGATTCTAGATGCTCCATTATTTGCTCCGAACTTCTAGAAGTTTCTTTTTCGATTAATTTCTAAAAAATGTATTTTATCATTAATGAAGATAATAACTGTATAAATATTATACGTATAAAGATTAAACTGATTCATATAATTCTGAAATAAGAAGAAATGACTCACATATTTTTGTCTAACTTTCTGTAATGGTTCAGACTGTTCAAATTTCTGAGCTTCTTCCCTAAACTTTTTTAAGTTTTCCTAAAAATACAAACAAAATAATATTACCTTTACCAAATGTATTTTAAAATAAATAATTTGGAATCATACTGTAATACTAAAATGAAGTCAATGGCATCTGGTTGTATCTTTAAAAATAAAATACTTTGACTAAAAGGAATATTTATCACAGAATTTTTCATAAATTGATGAGAATAAGCATTTTGAATATAATTACTAAAAAATTTTCTTGATACTGTCATTTTTAATTCTTATATATTAATTGATACTATCTGACTTTCCTCGGCAAATGACATCATTTTGCTTGGTGATGCTAACTAGGCATCAGTCTAAGGCCTAGATTCTCAATGTAAGCGATACACCCCCCCCCCTTGTGGGCGTTTGAGATTTTTAAGGGGGCAGAAGACTAGAGAAATAATAGGTGGCATTCAGATGGCATGGAGGGGCATATTTATTTATACATTTGAAAGGGTTAGAAAAACTGAACTAGTGCCAATATTGCTTAATTTTTGTTATTGTATTTTATTTTAATAATTTTTATCACGTGTGCAAAAATTCAAATATTTCTGTAGTTCGGGAAGTGGATGAAAACTGAACTTAAAGATTCCATTACATTCAGATCTACATTAACTTGGATGATAAAATTTTTAATTTTAGATTTCAATTACAAATTTTCAAATAATCCAATTTCATATGAAATATCTCATACATAAATACAGGTATAAGGTTTTATTTTATTTTAACCATTATTTTTAGTTGAACTTTCCAGTTTCTCCTGATTTCAGTTTCCTGCAGGAATGTAAATTTTTGTATGACGTAGATGTAAATTTTCAACATGTTTCAGAAGCAGTATTTAAGCTGCATTTCAGAGTTCAAAAGAGTAGTAGTGGACTTAGTTCCAATGTTTATGCTGCGAGATTAACATTAGCTCTCTAGTTCGGTGTTTGACACCTTTCAGTTTATACTGATATTTCTCGGCTCGGCTTTCCTGTGTGCAGTCGATTTAGCTTTAGTTTAAGCTAAGGAGCCAGTCATTAGAATTCTTAATTTACTAGTTATTTGTTACGTTCTTATTTTCCATTATGTAGTCACAAGTGGTGGTGATTTGTGAGCACAGAGTTTGTGCATCTGTTTTAATTTATATTTAATACAAAGGTTATTTTATTTAAACCTTTCTTCTGCAGCATTTTGTTCTTAAAGACTTAGTGAGAATTTTCTCTGTCTTCCACAGAGAAGGTTGAAGAGAGGTTGCTCCCAAAGAATACATGTAAACTCTAAAAGGTAAAGTTAACAAAAGCATGTTAATACAAAATAGGCTTACATCACTTATAAGAAGTTTTTGTTAAATATTGCGACTTTTGCAATTTTACAGGAAATGACAGTATTATCTGTGCTTGTTCTAACCTGCACTCTACTCCCACATCACCCTTACCTAAACGTTTTACTTTCACGTTGAGTATTATAAACAAGTCACTGCATGTTTATCTTATTCCTGTCGATGCGTATTATATGTCTTCGACCTACATTAATGATATATAAGGCAATGATCGTTCATTTTATTTTTATTAGCATCAACATTGCCGAGTTTACCCGAGATAGGAGAATAAACAGACAGGTTGTCTTTTTCATTTTTAATGAAAACTTGACAAATTAATTCTTGGTTATACAAAAGATGAATTATGTTAAAATTAGCATTATAAGCCCCGTTCACAAGAGCAGATTCGACCGGTAGCGAAAACCGGTTCTTCCAACGTGTCCCATTCACATGGGAACAAGCATTAACTGCCTCGCCGAATTGGAGGTAGAACTTGGTTGAATGTTCCTTACCTCTCCAGAGCAGGGCAAATGGGGAGATTTCCCGTACTATTCTGCGCGATTGCGTGGTTCACTTAATTTTAGTTACTGCTCACTGGACTGTTAGCGAAACAATTACGCTGATAGATGTCTGGGGATGTGATAACATCCACTCAAAAATTAGATAGAACTGTACAAGATACAAAAATTATAGACAAATACAGACAGGGTTATCTGATGATAAGTATTCCAGAAATATCGTTCAAATTAAAACTAAAGTTAAGACAAGTGCATATCGGCTTCAAAGTGGCAAGGGACTCTGTACCTTTTGAATGATTTTTTTTTTTTTTTTTTTTTATTTAAGAACTTTCATCTACTTTTTATGAATATTATTAAATGGTTTTGGTGACACAAAATAATTTTAAAGCTGAAAAAAAGTTTCTTGCCTAGTAATTTTTTTTATTAATCTAAATTTTCTTGAAGAAAAATTTTAACAATTAAAATGTTCTTTCTTCTCCTACAATTTTTCAATGTCTCCCCCCAGTTTTTTTTTATTGTATTTATTAAGAGTTTTCTTAATAACTTCAAGAAATGATTTTGCAATTAATGAATTAATTTCTGAGAAAAAAATAAAAATACACTTTTATCTAAAATCTTTAAAACAAATATGATCTCGGTCACATTTTCATTTCAAATAATTTTTCTTTTCAGTATTTTGCAAAACCCATACTTGTTTCTATAAAGTATATAATTTTAAATAAGCAGTAAAAATAATAAATAATTTAGACCATACCTGTTTATGTTTTAAAACTTAAAGTAAATGGATTTATCGAAAAAATGCAAAAAGTTCCTCAGTTTGCATTTGCAGTTTAAAGAATACAAAATGCCTAAATAGACATTTAATCATTTCAAATCTTTAAAATTTTATTACTGAATTTCAATACACACACATATATATATAAGTCAAACCTAGTACTATTTATTCAATTGGTAAATATAAATATAAATTACAAACCTTTTTTTAAAACCTTATATTGCTAAAAAAATTGCAAAAAATCATAAAATGCAAGCAACATTTTTCTTTACCTGTTTTTGTTTTGTAAAACACGTTCAGAACAATTTTAATGCATTAATTAATTATAATATTGTTGCGTGTGTACAGGTTTGTAATAGATTGATAATAGTTCGTAAATGATTGCCATTGCACTCAAATCCAATGATAGCTTAATTAAATTTATTTTATCAACAGAAACACTTCAAAGTTCTGGAATTTTCCACAGAAATACTCGTACAAGTGTTTAGAATATCACTATGTATAATCAGTAGTTATGCTTCAATCTAATAAGAACGTTAAACACAACGGAATACAAAACGCATCTTAAGAGAAAGTTAACTCAGAAATATCTCCATCTAACGCTGAACGCTATCTAACGCTGAACGCTATCTAACGCTGAACGCATCTAACGCTGTACTAACAATTGGCAACAATAACAACTTATACTACATAAATAATGTATAAAATACAGTGTGGTATAATGAGATTATTACTTTGAAACAGATGTTTCGAATTTATGCCCATGAAAAATCAATATTTCCCCTTCTGCTTCATTGCATATCTTTTAAAAAAGTAAAAAAATCATTCAATTAATTTCCTTTATAATTTTTTTTAATGCGAAAAGTTTGTTTTATAAGCTGTGAAAATTTCAGAAGTTTGTACCCAATATATTTATAGATATGAAATTTTAAAATTAATGGGTGTCAAAAAGTCTAAAAATATGAACGATTTTCAAAAATTCTCCCAAAATATTTTTTTACAAAATTATGCTAAAAATTTAATTTAATTTTTTTTCCTCCACAGTGTGTTATGATGCAAACTATAATATTCTGAGATTCTCAGTTTATTTGATAATATTTGCAAAAAATCGGTTCAACTTTAAATTTGAAAAAAATCTAATCCTCTAAAAATCAACACCACATCCACAAGCAGTGTATGTACAAAGTTTGAGTTCTATATCTTATTGGGAAACAGTTTAATAATCTATGACCATCTTTTAACCATAGCGACAAGCACCAAGAGTGAACTAAATACCAGCTTAATAAAATAATAATCATAATTAAAAAGCATATATTTTTCAGGAACCAATATGAAAGTTCAGGTACCAGATGCAAAAGTACAGATTACAAAATTAACAACAGTAAACAACGTTAAAAATGTGTAAACAGTATTAGAAATTGGCTAATTCGGAGATGTGATTGTTCACAGAGGCTTAGGTGTAAAGGGAAGGAAGACGATGGTCTTCTGAACAAGTCCTAAAGACGCAACTCTTTCATGTTTCGTCCTTTTTCTCCTCTTGCTAATGGCAGCTGTGCGAAGGAGCGTTGCATGTAAACGGGGCTATAGAGCATTGAATAAAACCAAAGCAGACAATTTGCTTCCGTGGACACAATCTTTGCACCCTATACACAGCACATCCATCTCAGTTCTCCGCATATCTTTTAGTGATCTCAAAGTCTTTCTTTTGTGCTTCTCTGAGGAGATCTCCCACAGGGTGCTTAGTACCAGTTTTTCCCTTGAGAAAAAGAAATAGTTAATTGAGAACTTTTGCTGTTTGTCACATACTTTTGGGTAATGGAAATAGTTGATAACAACCATCTTTTGGCATGTATTTTTTTACCAGCTTGTGACAGCTAATTGTCAACAGGCTCTGAATGTCACATTTCTTGTCACAGTATTTATATTTTATCTAACATTCATTACTACTATCCACGTATCTGTAAAGTAAAAACCATGTCAGAAGCAAAAAAGAAGAGACAGCACCTATAGAGTGGACTATATTAAATACGGATTTATTGAAAATCTCACAAATCCATCATCGCCAATGTGCCTTATTGCTTAAAAAACATTTTCAAAAGAAGCAATGAAGCCTTCTAGGCTTTAAGATCATTTTAATAAATGCACCCTAATAAGAAAGACAAAGATGTGACCTATTTTCAAGGCATGAAAAAAGTACGAAATTCAGCTAACTATATCAAAACTTTTTTCATCAGCTTCTAAGCAAGACAATGACTGACTGCGAGCTTCACACAATATCTCATTGTTGATTACTAAAAGAGGCAAACAACATACTATTGGGGGAGATTTAAATTTTATCAGCAGTAAAAGAAGTAATGACCACTGTGCTCGTTAAACCAGCTATAGATATTATTTGAAAAATTCCTTTCAGCAA